AAAAGAAAGAAAGAAAGAAAGAAAGAAAGAAAGAAAGAAAGAGAAAGAAAGAAAAGAAAACCATGGGAAAAAAAAGTCTGTTTAGGTCATTTGCCCACATAAAAAATTACACTGTCTTTCTGTTGATTTGTAAGAATTATTCATATTGTCTGGTTGGGTCTTTTATCAGAAATATGTAATATAAATATTTTTCCTAGCTTGTACCTTATTTGTTTACTTTCTTAATGGTGTGTTTTGTTTTGTTTTGTTTTCCCCTTAACAGAGGCAATGGGGAACCCAGGACCTCCTGCACACCGAGCATGCGCTCTACCACTGAGCTATACCCCCACCCTCAATGGTGTCTTTTGATATTTATGTTTATTTTTATATTCTTAGAAGGGTGGACAAGAGCCTTGTTACATAGTTTGTCTCTACGGAGGGACACAGTGCTGCTAGGGAATAGGGAAGGTTGACAGGCAAACTTTTCACCCTTTTGTATTTTGTGCCATACAAAATAATATTTTGAGTATTACGTACTCAAAAAAGAAAATAAAAATAAAAGTTTAGGAGTAGCTACACCTGGGTTCTTGCAGTCATGGCCATATTTAAGCTTTGTAAACCAGAAATTCGTTACCTAAAAATAATTCTCACATACATTGACATCTATTAAAAGATTCTATATTACATCCATTGATCTATTTTTAGTCCAATGCCATAGTATTTAATTACAATAGCCGTAGAGGACATTCTGGTATCTGGCATGCCAAATCTCCCTTCTTTTCTTTTTCATGTCTTTTCTTTGATATTCTTACGGACATATGTGTTCATATGAAGTTTAACATCATTTGATCCTTTTTTTTTAAATAGCTGTTGGCCTCTTCCTTATGACCTTGAAGAAATGAAGGAACACATGATGGATGATGTCTGTATCATCAACAAACTTAAAGAGTTTGGGTAACTTAGACCTCAGGATTGATGCTTGTCATGTAATAAGGGTTCATACTGAGTATTTCAAGATGATAGAAGTAACTGTGGTCAGTCTTTTAAAACATGGATTTGACAATGTATGTTTACATATAGTTATTGTGTAATAAATTTTAAGTTTTATTGAGATGTAATTAATATATATAGACTGCATATGTTTAAAGTTTACATTTTTGTAAGTTTTGAATAGGTATACACCTGTGAGACCATCACTACCCACTACAATCAAGATAATGAATAAATTACCCCTGAAAATTTCCTTGTGTCCATTTTATAATCTCTTCCTTCTGTCCATCTCTATCCACCCCCACCATTCCCAGGCAATCACTGATCTGCTTTCTGTTGGCATTAAATTAGTTTGCATTTTCTAAAATTTTATACAAATGGAATCATACAGTAAGTATTCTTTTCTATCTGGCTTCTTCCATTCAGCATAGCTGTTTTTAGATTTATTCATGTTACATTCATTCCTTTTTATTACCAAGTATTGGTCCATCGCATCACAGTTTACTTATTTAACTGTCAACGAACATTTGGGTTGTTTTTAAATAACGCCATTACAAATGAAGCTTCTGGGAACATTTATGTATAAGTCCTTTGTGCACATGTGTTCATTTTTCTTAGGTAAATACCTAGAAGTAGAATGGCTGTATCCTAAGGTAGGTAGTACATTTCACTTTTGAAGAAAGTGCCAGATTGTCTTCCCAGGTGGTTGTACCATTATATATTCCCACCAGCAGTTCCTGAGAACTTTAGTTCTTCCACATTCTTATCAACTCTTGGAATGGTCAGTTTTTCTAAGTTTAGCCATTCTAATAGGTATGCAGAAGTATCTCCCTGGGGTTTTCATTGCATTTGACTTTGAAATTATAGTTCTACTTCTGAACTTTCTATTCTGTTCCACTGATTTTTTTTCTTTTTGGTCTTTATACCAACACCACACTGTCTTGATTACTGTGCTATAAAATAAGTCTTAAAAACAGGTAATACGACCTTGTTCTTTTTCAAAGTTTTGGCTGTTGAAGTCCTTTAAGTTTCCGTTATAAGTGTTAGAATCAGCTTGTAAATTTCTTTTTTAAAAAAGGGAAAGAAAAGTCTGCCGGGATGTTGACTGGGATTGCACACTGTATCTGTACATCAGTTTGTATAGGATTGACATCTTAAATAAAATCGGTCTTCCTACCCATTAACACACTATCTCTCTCCATTTATTTAGGTCTTCTCTAGTCTATTGTATTAAGATTTTGTAGTTTTTAGTGCACAGGATTCGCACATCTTTTGTCAGATTTGCCCCTAAGTATGTCATATGTTTTAATGATTATTTTAAATTTCAATTTTTGTGTTCATTGCAGTGTATTGAAAACAACTGATTTTTGTACATTGTCTGTGTATCTTTAAACCCTGTTAAATGTACTAATTATTTCTAGGAGTTGTTTGTTTTTGAGGATTCCATAGGATTTCCTACATAGACGATCACATCATCCTCAAATAAAAAGTTTTATTTCTTCCTTTCCACTCTTGATACCTTTTATTTATTTATTTATTTATTTGTTTGTTTGTTTGTTTATTTATTTATTTATTTTGCCTTGTTTCACTGCTTAGATCCTCCAATACCATGCTGAACAGACATAATGAGAGCAGACGTCTTTGCCTTGACTTTAAGGAGAAAGCATTCAAACAATATTGCCTGTAGGTTTTTCATGGATGCTCTTTATCAAGTTGAGAAAGTTCCTTTCTGTTTCTAGTTTGTTAAGAGTTTTTATCAGAAATGGATTTTTAATTTTGTGAAATGCTTTCTCTGCATCTATTGAGATGATCTTTTTTTTTCTTTTTTAATCTTTTAGTATGTAAATTACATTGATTTAACATTCTGGAATAAATTCTACTTAGTGATGGTGTGTTAGTCTTTTTATGTATCATTTGTTTCTATTCACTAAATTTTCAAAATGATTTTGCATGTCTGTTCATAGGGGCTATTGGTCTATAATTTTGTCATAATTCTTTTGTCTGACTTGGATATGAGTATAATGCTGGCCTCAGAATGGGTTGGGAAATATTCCCTTCTCTGGTTTTCTGAAAGAGTTTATGTAGAATAGGTATTATTATTTTTTTATTAAATGTATGGTACAGTTCATCAGTGAAGTCACCTGGGGTCATAGTTTTCTTTAGAGAAAGGTTTTTAATTTAAAATTTGAGGTTTTTTTTTTTAGTACATACAGGGTTATTCAGGCTACCTATTTCCTCTTGCATGAGCTCTAGCAGTTGAGGCTTCCAAGGAAGTTATCCAGTCATCTACATCGTCAAATTTATGGGCAAAAGTTGTTCATAGTATTCCTTTATCATTTTCATATCTGTAACATTTGTCCACTCTCTCATTTCTATTGGTAATTGTGTGTTCCCTTTTTTTCCTGATATGTATTACTCAAGTTTATCAATTTTATTCATCTTCTCAAAAAATCAGCTTTTGGGTTCATTGAGTTTTCTATTGCTTTTCTGTTTTCTCCTTCATTGATTTCTGCCCTGATCTTTTAAACTTCCTTTCTTCTTCTTCCTTTGAGTTTAATTTTCTCTTCTTCTTACAATGTCTTAAAGTGGAAGCTGAGGTCCTTCATTTGGGACCTTTTTTCTTTTATAATATAGGTGTTTAGTGCT